ACCAATAAAAACCCTTGTACTATCGAGCACACAAAATTTCATAATGTTGTCCTTAGGGCAAAAACTACTCTTTTGAACTTAAAATTTCTGTATAGGAGTGAAATCGAGACTTAACAAAACTCAATCTGATAGTGAATTTATCGAAATGCCATCACTCACTCGCTAATCTCGGCACAAAGAAGCTCTTACTCACTTGCAACAACTACGCTGTCCTTGACCGAGACTTCATTCACCCGAGCCGCACCGCGCTGAGTCGCGCGTATCACAGCCGCAACGTCGCGTCACCGCGTCACCTCAGCCGCGCTCGTCGCGCGCCGCCGCGCCGCCGCACCGGCCGGCCGTCGCATCCTCACGCGTAATCTCGCATAGCGCCAGCTGCTCGCCCTATCTCCACTTCCTACGCGAGTCCAGATTAGGAAATGTACAAAACATCAAAGACATAACTGCTTATATTGTAAATGCATCCCGCATAACGTCACCGACTGCTATTAAGACCATTGCTCTCGCGAAAAAATCAATCTGATAAATTGTGAAAGAAATCAACGCCGCATGCAGAAAATGGAGACAAACTCAGGAAGAGAAAATCAGTCGGACACAAAGATCCCTTCAACATCATCAGCAGCCGAGAACCAGAAAATTGAGGGAATTATCCCAAAAGTATCAAGCACGGAACCAATACTTGAAAAAACCAAAGATCAACCTGAAGATGAAGAACTAACCCAGGAAACACTCGAAAATCTACTGAGAACCGTAGATGAAACTCTAGAAAAGAACATCAAGATTTTGAAGACTGGAAACCTGAAGAATGCAGACAAAAGACTCACACAAGTAGCGATTGAAAATGGAAAACAATCCAGAAAATAATTGTTAATGAAAATCCAAAAGAAAACAAATATAACCCAAATGTTGGAATCTGAATCTGGTGTTATCTTGTTCCACGAGTCTCTTTACCAGAAGGCTGATGATGGCACTCCATTCCCCGTCCTATTGAAACAGAAAGGAATTATTTCCGGAATCAAGGTTGATAAGGGTGTTGTCAACCTTTTCGGATCTGAAGGAGAGACAACCACCCAAGGTTTGGATGATCTGGCTGAACGTTGCGCTCAATACAAGAAGGACGGTGCTGACTTCGCAAAATGGCGTTGTGTCTTGAAAATTGGAAAGAACACACCCTCATACCAATCCATCCTTGAAAATGCCACTGTCCTTGCCCGCTATGCCTCCATCTGTCAGGCCAACCGCATCGTCCCTATTGTCGAACCTGAGGTTCTTCCCGACGGTGAGCACGATTTGGACCGCGCCCAGAAGGTTACAGAAACTGTTCTAGCTGCTGTTTACAAGGCACTCAATGACCACCATGTATATCTGGAAGGCAGAAACTGGCAAAGATAATATAGAAACAAATGTATTGAAATCTGCCCTGAACTGGTTTCACAGGGTAAAAAATATGCATGAGTCAAGGTACCCCCAAAATATGCTTATCCCGACTCGAGGAACTGAATGAAAGTAGGTACAATATAATTAAATACAACTGGTTCTCTCAATTAAAAGCCATGTTACATAAAATTGACCAAGAATATCTATTTCTTAGAGAAACCACAGAGCCAGCTGCGATCAGGAAAATGGTAAATGAAGTTCAGAGAAAAATATCAGAACTTACCATGGAAAAAGACAAAGAAAAGTTAAATGAAACAAAGTTTGTCCCCCATTACAACCTAATTAACACTGAGAATATTGATGCCAACCATAATTATTTATATCGTAAAGTGAGTTTTGCGAAAAAAAGACTATTCAGCCAACTACGAGCGAGAAATGTTAACTCCCTTAACATCACTATCAATCAGATGAACCATAGAATTAACCCTAACGAAATTTGCACAATTTGTAATACTCAACAACCTGAAGATGCGCATCACTTATTCTTTGTTTGCCCCATTTACCATAACACTCGAAAATATTACTTACACAGCTACCTTAACAAAGACATAAACCTAATTCTTAGTGAAGACTCAAACGAGCAACAGCTTACAGATATTTATAATTATTTTGCGACAATTCTGAGTATAAGATCGTTCATAATAAATGAATAACTGAACCAAAAAACAAAGTTTGCCTATCATGAACGCTGCTATTTCATGTACATAATTGTAAGCCCAGCATATCCTAGAGATAAGTGTAGCATAATGAAGTAATCTCATGTTTGTAAATGATCTCCCAACCTAACCCCCCTTTGTTAAATCCTCCCCAGGATAAAAAATAAAGTATTCTATCTATCTATCTATCTATCTATCTATCTATATCTGGAAGGCACACTCCTGAAGCCAAACATGGTGACCACTGGTCAGTCATGCCCAACCAAATACACTCCAGCTGATGTTGCAAAGGCCACAGTCACCGCCTTCCAACGCACAGTCCCTGTTGCCGTTCCAGGAGTTACCTTCTTATCCGGAGGACAGTCTGAAGAAGAAGCTTCTGTCCACCTAGACGCTATCAACAAATACCCCGGCAAGAAACCATGGACCCTCACCTTCAGTTACGGCCGTGCCCTTCAGGCTTCCGTGCTCCGTGCATGGGGAGGCAAAGCGGAGAATGTTAAGGCTGCCCAAGATGAATTACTGAAGAGAGCCAAGGCTAACGGTCAAGCTTGTCTTGGCAAATATGTTGCGGGAAGTATCCCGAGCCTTGCCGCAGCCAAATCCAATTTTGTTGCCAGTCATGCGTATTAAGAACCCTAGCTTGGTGTCTGTTCCTGATTTTAAATTTGCACCCCGTTTTTATTGGTTATGGCTAATGGTGATGTGGCACTCGGAAAATATGTTGCTGGATCAGTCCAAGGACAAGCTGGCGATGCATCTCTATTCATCCAAAACCATGCATACTAAGCAAGTCTGGCGCTTCTGAAACGAAATTCAAAATTTACCAAGAACATCTAGAATCCGCAATCTTTTTTCAATCTAATTTATTTTTAATAGTCCAACCTCTCCCCTTTCAGGAACAGTCAAGTTTTAAAAAATTTAAAATTTTTGTTTTGTTGTAAGGATTATTTTATTCCATTGCCATCTTGACTCTAAAATGTGATCCAATGTGTAAATTCCGAACAAATATCTCATAAAATAAAGCGCTGACCGTACCGTGGCCTTTGTGATGACTTGATGTGACCTTGCTTCAACTTGGTCCAACTTGGCAATTTTTAAAGAATAGCTTACGCTTGAATATTCAGTCCATGGGTGTTGAGATTGGTGGCTCCATCGATCAATATTCTACTCTACACGTATATTATTACTAAAGACCTATTGTAAGGACCTAGTTTTAAATCTCACCTAATATTGTAGTCATAATCATATATATTAATCAGTGTGCTATTCTTAAATTTAAATTTTAAGACCATCTGAACATCACAAAGGCAGAAATGTGAAGTTTATTCTTGAGTTTTCAAAGTTGTACATAATTTTGATATTTTATCTATCTTAAACATATTGTTGAGTAAGTCTCTTAATTTTATCCTATATGTGTTTGTGTATTTGTTGCTACATGTTTAATGTTTATCTTCTATTCTATCTCAGTATATTTATTCACAAACACTTCACAAAGGATTATGAAGTCATCAAAATGTCTCCCGAAGATTCAGAGATGACTAGAATTTCCCCCAGAAATAATAATGGAAGATCAGAAAAGTGAAGTAAAATGAACGGTTAACACCGACGAAAATGTCTGTTGTCTTGTCGAAAGAACTTCAAATAAAAGTCATTTTACTGTGAAAAAAAAAAAAAAAAAAAAAAAAAAAAAAAAAAAAAAAAAAAAAAAACTCCGTTATTTCTACCGCCACGTTTTAAGGATCTTTAGATGTTTCAGTCCGTTTAAAACTCAACTCCTCTTTAAAACGCGACACTTACATTATAACTTTTAGGATCTTGACTGAACAAGAACACCCTTAATAGTAAAATTTACTTAAAATGTAGAGTTTTATGAGAAATTTACATATATTACAAGGACATGTATCCATTTTATCACATAGAGCACATATCGACGGTGAAACTCTCGGTAGACGTATATCGATTTGCGACGTCGCAGACTTGCTAAACTTTATTAATTAAAAGGAAAATTACTCAACGTTCATTCTTTAAAATCCCTGTGATTTTTCTGTTCTGTGTGAAGAAAATTCTGCACGGAAAAATGTAGGATAGTCGTCAGAACCAGCGGCTGGTTGTGACTAGTATCCTTTGCGCCAGCTATACCGTGCGGTAGTAACGACAACTACCGCGGTAGTCGCATCCTCCACCGCGGAAATTATCGTAACTACCAGGGTTGTTGTTGTGACTATCGGGTAAGTTGTGTCCCCTACCGCGATAGTTATCATAACTACCGCACGGTAGCTGGCGCAAAGTATATAAGTTGTCACAACAAGACGCTGGTTGTGACGACTATCCAATTTTTTTCCGTGTGCGAAAACTTCACGAAATGGTGTTGATTCGCTCTTGGTCAAAGAGGAAAATGGGAGCGGAGCTTTTTAAACACTGCAAACGAGTTACGTAGTTTGGGAGGTTCACCGTCGATATACATAAGTATGTATGAAAGAAAAAGCTTCGATTCTTGCGAGGTATAATTATGTACAACATATACATAGGTGAGCCTATTAGCGGCTCTGGTGCTTGCACTAGAGCTGCTATTCCGGACGGTCCCAGCTGGGGAGTATCAACGGACCATGTTACATTGGAGAGACCGCGTGTTGGTTGATGGGAATCGGCGCCATTTTCTGCTGTTTAGGGGGGACTGATTTTATTTCAATTGATATCTTTTTCCTGTGAGCGAATGCTATGTTGTGTAGTGTATTTTTGGAATCATGGTGGTACTGTCAATAATTCAAAACGGGTCTGTGCTTTAATCTCGCACTGGAAAAAATGTACTTTACGTTTAAAATTTGAAAATTCAAATCTATAAGTTTTCGCGCTTTTTTCGAAGAATGCCGTGGTTGGAGCTTCCTAGTCATACTACTCGACATCAGCTGATAGCAAACAAAGGTTACCAAGGAAACCGTAAACGCGTAACAACTACCTACCGTCGCCAGAGCCGCTTTCCGACGCGAATGCGTTGGAGCTTCCTGCTTGTTTTCTAGCATGCACGTACTTCCTTATTCCTCAAGAGCCGTCCCAGGCCTCAAAACTAGTTCGGAAAAAGTTAACTCCAATCGGAGTCAAGAAATATTTCACAGCGAAATTTTTCGATTTAAAATTGCGTCGTCTTTTGTCTTCAATGCTACAAAAAGAAAGGCAAGAAATAAACATTCATAGAAAAGAACTGAAGAACTCAAGAGGTGGAAAAATAAACTATATATACATGAGTCGCTTTTATAGCGCTTTTGGCGCTGTGCGACACCTAATCGCCACAAAGCTCGGTCTTCCCACAGGTCATAAGGGGGAGGGAAAAATAAACTAAACTTGCGATAATTTTTAACACCTGCTTTAAGGAGCAATTCAATGATAAGATACGTATTTCGATTACACTGGTCAACATGGGTTCTGTCCTTCGAACCGAACCAATTTTTTCGATTTCTAGGTGCTAAAAAAGCCCGAAAATGGCCAAATTAACTTCAGGAAAATTGGCTGGTCCTCAGGGCGCCTCCATTTTGAATTTTTCAAAATTAAGAATACCCACGTTCAGATTTTTGCAAATATCTCCTCGACGGTTCATCTCACGAAAAAAAACAAAAAAACCAGCGGAAAGAACATAAAATTTCCTACCGAAATCACACTCCTCTGTTTTTTCTAGCTTAATTTTTTGGTCGTAAAATTAACGTTTTCTTCAAAAAGTAGCTAAAAAAGGCGTATTTTGCTGATTTTAGGATAAACTTTGCTTCATACCTACAGCCACAATTATCTGAGAAAAAACCTGTTATGTTCACTGAAAAGAGCGTAAAAAAACTGTCGGAGCGATTTCCTTCAAACTTGGCAAAAATGAAGCTAAGAACCACCTCTACATGCCTGAAAAATCAAATTTAGAAAAAAAATGCAGCTGAAGCCCAAAAAAAAGAAAAGTTGTTTCTCCCAAATTATAGATGAAATTTCAGGTTTTAGCATAGAGTACAATAGAGTCGCGATGTACTGGAGCGCCGATGAAGTCAATCCATGAACGGGCCTTTCCGAGCCGCTTTATGCTCCGAAAGGTGTGAACTAAGTGCGAACCCAACGGCACTTATTATCACGGTGGCTTATGGAGAAATCAAGAACTGCTTGTGTTTTTTTTGAAATGTTTAAATTCAATCAGCATTAATTTTTGCAAATTTTGCTATTAACAGGTAGTCAAAGCCATAGTGAATCCATTAATGTATCATACTCCTGAATAATATTCAAAAAGGAACGTAAATTATGACTTAAACCAAATGTGAGCCGACCGGCATTTCTTATCATGGTGGCTTACGGGAAAAGCAAAAACTGCTTGCGTTTTTTCGATATTTTTTAATTCAATCTATATTAATTTGTGCAAATTTTGCCATAATTAGATAGTCAAAGCCATAATGAATCCATTGATGTATGTTACTCCTGGATAATATTCATATAGTAATTTAATTTCTGATTTATACCAAGTGTGAACCAACCTGCATTATTTAACACGGTGGTTTATGGAGGAATCAACGACTGCTTGTGTTTTTTCGACTTTTTTTAATTCCATCGATATATTGGCAAATTGAATTTCAAGAGGCAAAATTCACGATTTTCATCATTGTTATCCAGTTTTCGTGTCTCCTTTGTAATTGTCAATATTTGAATAGTAATGGTCACTCTGTCCTCGCATCTTCAAACAGAAAGACTTAAAATCAAGATCACTAAAAACGTTTTCTTCACAGATACTACAGCGAAAAGTTACACAATCAGTTTTCAACTTAGAAAATAAAAAATTCAGAACAGATGAATTGTTTGCCCTCTCTAGTAATACCCATTCTTCATTATCAGGACCTCACAGGAAATTCGAAATATAAAAGAGATTTTCTGTGTTTATTTTATGCTATTTATTTTGATCTTCATTTTTAAAGGCTGATGAGTCAAAGGAAGCAGGACACATTGGTTAAAAGAGGTATAAGCAAAATACAATATTTAATAGAAAATTTGTTCTGTAAAATGTAATTTATAATCTGACTCTTTTTCTGGTCAACATAATGTACACAAATCCAATTCCCTCACCACATGATTGTGGGGGTTGGGCCGCGTTGCGTGAACATGAACGTGTTATGCATAAATTGCATTTATGCTGACCCTCGCAAAGGTACAAAAAATTCAACAAAATTAGGAATTAATAGATAAAAAGACTTATTGCTAGTTCAATACGATCGATTTGCAAATTTGAACCATGAATGAATGAAATGGAAAAATCCTAATAAGTAACTTCACTAGTAAAACTTACCTGTTTTCGAAACAGCCATCAAAAATAGAGGCATTCAGAATAATCGTAATAGACCTACAAACCACTTCACATTTTTTTATTTCTTTTAACAAAAAACAAAAATTAACACACAGCTGTTTTGAAAAAATCAAAGTACACATGAAAAAAGGACTTCTAAAAGTTAACATTTTCTGCTCGACTTAATCAAGTTGTTCCCAGGAAGATTAATTAGATAACATTGTAGCCGTTGGAACTATTCTACTTTGGTTATCATTTCTTCGAACGATATAGCCTCTTAACATAAGAGAATCAATTTTTAAGTGTAAAAATGTTACAGCAGAATACTCCATACACTCAGCTGATTTAGTGACCCAGTTAGGTAAAAGCCATAAAATCCTGATAAAAATAATTTAGAGAAACAGTAATCACCGACAATCATAGAAACCAGCAATTCTTTTTTTAAAAAAAGAAAACAACAACCACGAATTATGCACGCCCACGCAAGACCGCATTTTCAGTTTGTTAACATAGCTCTGCCTGCGAGTAACAATGATTCAGCGTCAGAGGTTGATAGAAGCATCATTCAGCCCGACAATATCTAATGTCTTTCAAAAAAGGTATGTACCCATTCCATTCTCATAACTTGATCATTAAATTAAAATAAATTCGCAGCGTTTTATTGTGCCGCACGCAGAGAAATTCTATCGACATCTCAAAAATAAACGAGGGATTATTTTAAGTAGAAACAAGTTAGAACTCTTCAGAATAGTTTGCTTTCAAAGAACGAATGAAAAGTACCATGTAGTTTATTAGCGCGTGATAATTTTCAAATATGGTAATATACACTGATGTCATGTGTTTCAACCTGTATAAAGTTATGAAAAATATTCTTATTTCATTCATCTACTCTCCTGTTCAGATTTTACTGCTTTGCGAAACCGACAGTTTGTACTCTTTTAATAACCTATGTACTAGGGACGATAATAGTCTACCAAGTGAATGTAGATGATATTTCGCTAAGTTCTATCCTGTCTGTATCGGAGAAAATCTTTACGCTATCTAAAAAATAGACCAGGAATTTTTGAAATAGAAAGTTCAAACTGCTCAGAATAATTAATTTGAGATTGTTTTATCCAATTTTATACCTAAGTTTAAGTTATTTTCAGTCTGGTTTATAATCATCCGCCTTTAAAGCCGCTTTAAAATTGTCACCTGTGGTGTCTTGTGAAATCGAGACTTGCTCGACAACTGCGCCCCGAACATTTTAGATAGGCTTTGGGAACCTTGCAGCGTCGCAAATTAAGGTATGAATTGTTTTTATTTGAACGTAGATCGGGATAAGAAAATGTGCAACAGCGCACGTTCTACAGTGTGATTTCAGCAGTAATCCTGATCTTCTACCATCCAGCCGAGGCGAGACTGTAGAAGGTGCTCTGAGCAACTATTCCATCTCCGACGTATTCTACAGTATCAAAGGTAATTGAAGGCGCTTTGTGGCTCCTACTTAAACTTGTTTTTCCCCTTTTTTACGAAAGCTAACAGATAAACTTAAAAGAAGCATTAAAATAAAATTTCTCATCATGACACGGATAAAAAATTGGCAGATTTTAAGTATAGTTAACATTGATTTCCCCCCATGAATAGGCATTGAAAATTTGCAACGTTGCAAGTTTTTAAATGCTTAAATTGAATAAAATGGGCTCGGAAAGTATGATATTATAGCTTTGACTAGATAGCATACGATCAAGATCACCCCTGTAATCACACCGTCGGGCCTGCACAGCTACACATTTTCTCATATCCGACGTTCATATATGAAAGCAATCTCCACCTTGATTTGCTACGTTGGAAGGTTTCCGGCCTATTTCAAGTAAAAGAGACATGAAAAGTATGGCATATAACTCCAACTTGATGGCAAAATATCACGACCTACCGCTGAAATCACACTTGTATAGTTGCACATTCTCTCATCACGAACGTTGAGAAAACACACTTCAAACTTCAATTTGCGACGTTGTAAATTTTCAGTGCATACTTCGTGTGCGTAAACCCATGTAAACGATTTAAAATCTGCCGTGATTTATTCGAATTATGATGAAAAATTAAATTGTATTGCTTCAATCAAGTTTATTTGTTAGCTCTCGTTAGAAAGGAGAAAAATTACTATGAGTTGGTATGAGTAGGTCTCTTAAAGCGCCTTCAATTACGTTCGATACTGTGCAATACGTCGGAGGTGGAATAGTTGCTCTGAGCGCCTTCGACCGTGTCGCCTCTGCTTGTGAATTCAAACTGTAGAACTCTGGCCAACTATTCCACCTCCGACGTATTGCACAGTATCAAACGTAATTGAATGCGCTTTACGGTTCCGTATTGTAATCTTATTTTCCCCATTTTTTTACGAAAGCTAACAGATAAACTCAAAAGGAGCATTAAAATAAATTTTTTCATCAGAAGACGGATAAAAAATTGGCAGATTTTAAGTTGTTAACATTGGTTTCCCCGCATGAAGTAGGCATTGAAAATTTGCAATGTTTTAAGTTTTTAAATGCCTATTTAAGATCAAATACGCTCGGAATGTAGGATATTATGGCTTCGACTTGATGGCAAAGGATCACGAATACCGTTGTAACCAATATTTTTTCTCTTGCGTAGTTCCCCATAAAAATAAAAATTTAAAGGGAGCATTAAAATAAAATTTGCTAACATACTTCGGAAAAAGAACGGCAGATTTTAAATTGTTCACATTGGTTTCCCCGCATGATATAGGTATCACGATAAAAAATAAAGGGAGAGGGGGTCAGTGTGGGGTAGACATTACTAAGAACTCGTTATTCAGAGACATGGCTCAAATATTTTCAGACGTCAAAGCTCGGTCAACGTTTGGTTAGGTTAGGTTAGGTTAGGTTAGTATTCTCGGGCGCGAATATCACTCCAAAAATTGGCAAGATAAAGGGTCGCCGTCGGTGCCTGATCTCGAAAATAATAATACTGGTACATATTATCCACTTGCATCTCTCTTACATATTTATACCATGCGCATGATCAGAAAAAAATGTCGCAAATCCAGCTAAACGCAAATTTTTCTCGATTCCAACCACTGATATGTGGCTACGCTGCGCAGCAGCGGTAGCGAAAGACCCATACATAATTAGATAAACATGCATAAAAATCCTAGTAGTGAAGCCACTGCATATGAAAAATAAAGATTTTTGAACTTGCTGAATGAGTTCCACGAGGAAACAGCTTTCGAATGAAATATTAGGTTTTCCCCGATTTCATTCAATAAAATATGGCAACACCGGCCTCTTCGAGGGAGGGGGGAGGGGCTTTGAATTGAAAAAAGTTCCGAGAGGAAGGTTTTAACCACCTACGTCTATTACCTGCCATTGGAGTTTAATTTTTACTTAAGATGACTCTCCCTGTTTTAAGCCATTTTAAATAATGATTTCAAACAAGAAAATTCTAAAAAGGTTTTTTTAACTATGAGCGCAAGGTTTGACATCAACGAAAATTGGCAAAAATGGCTCTATTACATCCTTAATGAACGTACTTGAAAACTTTTTCATCCTCCGATGGGATCGTTGTGAAACAGCGCGTCGAATGACAAAAAAAAATCGCATTTCTCGCCAAAATCGGCCTTAAGACCAATGTTCAGGCAAGTGTTGGATCCAGAAACAGCCCGGAAATTACCAAATCACGATATATTCCGTAAGATATAGATGAGCAGAAAATTTTGGAGGGGAGGACTTTAGAAGGTGCCATGAACCGGTTCTTATCGGTACGCTTCCTTTGGGTAATGACTGAACCAAAAGTATTTGAATATCAGCTAACTGGGGACAGTAGGTTTTTATTTTTCTTTGTCAGGGTTACTAAATTGCAAAATTACTAGTGGTTGTGGAATTTCGTATTAGGATCAAAATAAATTCATGATATTAATTGAAAATTTGGTTTCTTCGACCGCGAGAACGTAAATATTTATCTAGAAATTCATGGTTCACTCATCAGGTGTAGATTGCCTGATGATGATTAATTAATAAGTGTTGACTCTTTCACCCTCCAAACTTCGGTGTATCTTTTAAAGTGTTTTACTTATTTTGACATGTATCCTTGAATCAATTGTTCGAGAAAATAATGAATTTCTACTTTACTATGTTTTCTGAACAGTGTTACTTGCCTCGATGACATCTCAACGAAGTAATCTATCAGATGCTCTGGAGTTTCACACTTAAAGGAAACATGGAGATAAGGAAAATAGATTTGATAGTGCGTAACACACTGTTCCTGTGTTGCGTGGTGAATCTAGGGATGGGACAGCAGTTAAGAAGAACGGTAATGTATAAGACTTATGACAGTGTTTTTACCTAAAAAAAAGAGTGCATGCAATATCCGTATTGAACCAATGTTAGAGTTAATAGTCGATGTTTCCATTTTTCCGAGGGTTCCGAGGCTCTGGCTCGTCATTGAACCATAGAGTGCATACGGTCGTAATGTAAATTGGAGAGCTGGCGCCATGTTCAGCTCAACGAGTTCCGAGCCCGGTGTGCGCCGCGCTTCGGTCACTTTTAATGACGCCGGGTCACAAAAGTGACCCGGCGTCACACAGGAGTCTCAGAATTCGGGACTTTGAAAATGCTTAAAAGTGGCGCCAGCTCTCTCTCTTACATTACGACTCTACATACTCTATGCGTTGATCATTCACGTTTTTTTTCTAAAGTACCATAACTTAATTCCAACCTGCGGGCCGATTATTAAAATTGATAGACGAAGCTCTAGACAAAGTCGACAAAAGAGGTATGAAGGGATCCTATTGGTGGAAGCGGGTGGTTGCAATTGACAAACGAGGTAGGTAATATACTAACTAACGGCAACCCAGGAGAAACTCAATAATTAGTCCATTATATCCATCCGTCTATAGGAACCACCCATTTCAACTAATAGGATAGCTCCATACTCACTATGACTTTTCGTCTATCGTTCTTGCTCATGAGCCCTGATCACGAGGCTCTGAAAGTCTCGGTTAGGATAACCAATAGGTTTAGTTAATTTTGCTTACAGTTTATAATACTTTGTGTTCTAGTTCTACTTGCCACATTAACACGAAATTTTGCTTATTTTCTTTACTGTGTAGATTCCACCATGGCTGAGAATGAACCGAGGGCCGGCCGTGACGAACCCACCGAAAACGCGGCCCCCAACAACGGAGAAAACGGTTTTTTACACGGATGCGACGACGAAACCGCCGACAACAACGTTGCCCACGACGGAAATGAGCTGGGCCATCAGGCTCACGTACCCCCCTTCACCGCCCCCCACATTGCCACCCCCTAACGCCACCGATTTCAGCCTCGTCCTGCTTAAAGGGATCCTCATCAACCACAAACTCATGCCTGAGATCTCCGTCACGACGCCCAGACACGTCATCAAGGTACGTCGTGGAATGGAGATCATAAAACCTGCACTGAATAAAAAAAAGTTAGGTCATATCGTCGCCTTCCTGACATAAGGGTGTAACTACTCTTGCGGATGAACCCCTTTGTCCATGCAACCCAATGCTTTCTCGGGCTCATCTCAAACTGTAGTTACGCCCTTTTGTCAGCCAAGCGACGATATGGACGGGCGTTCGGTTGCGCTATACCATTCCTTCCATTCGGTTTCTCAAATCGAACTTTCATTTCGTGTAACTGCACTCAATAAGATCTTTTTGGCTATAAATTCGGTTATACGAAGTGAAAGTTTGATTTAATAAACCGAGTAGTTAGGCCTTTTCCACACGAGCCCAGTGGGGGCGATTAGCTAAGCTAAACAAGTTATAGCTAAGTTATAATAAGTTCCTGGAACCACAATGGAAAAAAAAACACATTGGATCTAGAGTTCAGACTCTTGAAAACATTGACAAGAAAAAATACTCTTGATTCAATCGGATTTTTGCTTGAATCAAAACGAAATCCGCTTAAATTAAGAGTTCTTGATTTAAGCAAAGATCGATTGAATCAAGAGTATTTTTTCTTGTCAATGTTTTTAGGAGTCTGGACTCTAGATCCAATGTGTTTTTTTTTTTTTTTTTTTTTTTTTTTCCAGTGTAGTTTGCTTGAAGTTGCGTGGACCGCGCTTGTGCATAGACACGGACATAGGATGACGTGGATAACATCAAAGGTTCAATTTATAAATCCGACTTTTCTTAAGAGTGGGGCTGAGCTTAGAATTTCGCCTTCAATTTTTGCGATATGCAATCTGTGTATTGTCACATTTAAGAGTAATTTGTGATCCAAATGATATTTTGGGAAGGAGCGTGAAGTAAGGTATGACGGTTCGTTACCAGGAGCACGAGGGGTTGATTTCTAGCGTCATGTAAAGGTTGTAATTTAGATTATATACATAATTCTCTGGAAAGTAAAATGCATACATTATTGTGCCTTATCTCGTCAAAAAAATTTGTGATGGTTCGAGGGGAGGATGATTTCTGTCCGTTTTTCGAATATTAGCAAGGATTAAGAAGTAAGTGGAGGTGACACACTCGGAAATTACCAAAACCCTGTTCATCTATCTTTACGTTGAAAATTTTGGTTTCGTGAAGAAATCCAGACGTTTCAATTCTTTTCAATGCGTATTTTTTCATAGATCCTTTTTTATTATTTTTTATGCAATATGGAGTATTGTAGTACGATCTCTTGAAATAGTTCCTCGCTACATAAAAGTTAGATCTTAAGCCAAAAATGAATAAGAATATTTACAGAAGCTGTTTCCTTTTTTGCACGTAGGTTTCTTGGGACTACTACACACAATGCGAGCTTGGGAATTATATCTCACCAAAATCGGTAAAAAAGGCACCTCGAGTGAAATGGAAGAGAGAACCGGACGCATGGTACTCGTTAATTATGCTCGGTAAGATTTGTGTTGATAAAAACAATTTCAAAGTATTACATAATTTCCATACTACATAATATAATAATATAATGATATTATGTACCTATATTATTTTCATGTTATATAATATCCAACATTGTCAATGGGCCTGTTGCAAACTTTTGCCAGAGCAAAACTAAGAGTTGTTTCCTGTAGATAATGCCTCAAAAATCACGATGAGCGCATCGGCAAAGTCTGAAATGCACTCATAACTTCACAATCTGCGTAAGATATTTGCGGTTTTTTGAGCTTCCCGCTTCGAAAACGATACTACGGTACAGGTGAACATTTTGTTAGAGGAGTCGTTCCATTGGCGACAATACTCATCATGGCCGACGCCAGTCCGCCAAAACACGTGTGATGGGACGAGATAACACCTGAACAGGATTAAACCATATAACAATCGGCGTGTTTAAGTTCATATTTTCCTCGCCCGCCTTAATTGACCTTGAACTCTCCTCGAATTACGCGAGGAACTGCGCAAGCGTCGGCCATGATGAATATTGCCGACGACGGAGCGACTCCTCTAACAAAATGTTGACCTGTGCAGTAGTATCGTTTTTGAAGCGGGAAGCTCAAAAAACCGCAAATATCTTACGCAGATTGTGAATTTATGAGTGCATTTCAGACTTTGCCGATGCGCTCATCGTGATTTTTGAGGCATTATCTATAGGAAACAACTCTTCATTCTGCTCTAGCAAAAGTTTGCAACAGGCCCATTTCTCTCTACTCCCAGTGGTTTAAAAATATTTTTAGATGTAATGAACATATTTCACAGGAAATTACGAGTCAACTTATTGAGTGAAGCCGAAATCGTAGTCGAATTTAATAATTAAGTATGACAAATGACCATCAAAGCGCGGGAAAAGGAGCTTTCATATCCGAAAACTTACACTCAATACTTCGATAGACCGGGTTGTACAGTGCTCAAGAGTGTTTTGAGAAAGTTCTAACACAAAACCCATTTACAAATGTGAAAGGAAATACATTTGTGCCGGTTGTACAGTTCAAAAAGCATAGACCCGAGAACAAGCGTTTAGAGGTTTCAATCCGTATATTGTAGAACCTCATGCATTATGTAGCTTCCCTTTTAGATTGACTTTCTTATCGAAATCTCACATTTCGATTCTCTCTCTTTCTTACGTGAGAGATCTATTTCCTGAATAATTGGTTTCAGGACATTCCGTCAACGATTTTTTGTCCGGGCACCAGTTTAGTCCAGTAATTTACATCCACGCGTAAAATAAGAAACAGTGACTTGGTACAAAGGTTATATTTTAGTCCGTGTGTAAAATTATACTGACACTATCAAATTAGAAATTTGAGAGAGAAGAAGGTGTTGTTATGGTAACTCATTTTTTAAATGAAATGTTACTTTCTTGTTTTGATTCATCTTTCAAATTTTTATTGGTGAATATTTGGTTGTATTTCTATTTATGAAATTGTCGTTTTAAAATATACCGTATATAGGTATATACCTTTTTTTAATGATAATATTACTTCATTTTAAAAACATTATATTTTTAAAACGTGGCAAATATTTGTAAAACCATTTCAAATCGATGGCATCGATATTAATCTCAATGAGCCGAACTTGTGCTGAAAGGAAAAATACAAAAATGAAAAAGAGAGAGAAAAAACCAAGGAGTACGCAAGCTTTTGGTTTTACCCACTTTTACATCGATCTATTACGGTCAAACACGTCCAATTTTGAGCGTTTGGTTGCGAATACACCACGCTGCAGCACAGTAAAAGCACAATATATAAAAGAAAAATTAAAAAGCTTTGGAAATCATTAAATTAGATACGGAACCACCTTAATATTTTCAAAACACACGTTATATTTTCCTTACAAACTTTTTTTTTATCATCAATTTAAATGAGAATAATCCGTGCAGAGCGTACAAACATTTCAAAATCATGAGTTGGAAAACGCTGACTCCGCGAGTTTAAATATTAGAGCCTAACACAGAGCGAAAGGCGCACTGGCGCCTATAAACCTAACGGGATACTTCACGCGTTGCGCAATGCTTGAAGTATCCCTGTTAGGTTTGTAGGCGCCTATGCGCGTGGTTGCCCGCCGCGCCGCGAAGTGCGAGTGCTACGGCGTTTCAAGCGACTATTTCGAGACGTAGGTGTTTCACAGTATAATAAGAGATTGAAGGCGCTCCATCGTATCAAAAATGACAAGCTTCCTTTAAGGGTTGTAGCTTTCCTTGCAAAATAAATCAAGATACTACGTTACAAAAAGAGAGCGATAATCTAAAAAAAAAACTCACTCAGTCCTAGCATCCGCATTTAATAACGTTTAGCATAATTTTTGAATTTCATCAGAGAAAAACGTGACTCGATTTAAGCAGAAATATTCTTGAATATGCCGTCAAGAAGATTTTATTTTGAATCAAGAATAAAATAGGACCATGGACAATTACAATTGACGTAGCCCATGAATTTTTAAATGGATGGCGTGAAAGTGGAACTAAAATGAAATGATCCAGCATTGTACTTGCCCTGCTGAGAGAGAGTATGGGTGGAGTATGAGCTTCTACCGTACGTTCAGTGATTTTAACTCTTACTCCACGCATTTGAAGGAACATGTTTTTGTCAAAATCAGGACAAAAATTGAAAAAATAAGCGTTTGAAAAGAAGGATAAATATACAGCCGGTCCGTAAGACGTCATGAAATCATATAGGCGGTACTAGGAAGTGTTGTTTGAGGAAGGACAGTAGGGCATTTTGTCAAGGATGGTCTAGGGGGCAGTAAACCTAACCCCATCATCGAGGGAAGGCTCTGCGGAATCCACGCCTTCAGCTTCAAAGGAGATTCGGAGGATTTCCTCAGCATCAAAGAGTTAAGTTGTCTCAGGAGCAATTTTGAGCAGTTCTTAGCAAAAAATCAACAGAAATAAAGTTTTAAATGTGGAAAAAGTGTTATACACTTATTTAACAAAAACTCTTCTGTTGCTTGGGAGAGTCCGAATAGATTTCTGGGTGGAGCAGGCCTCTTCTGGCCCCAGGGTAGTTTGGCCCTTGCATAAATTCGAGCCAAGCTTATAGGGTCGACTTTCTCATGAAAGCCTAGTCTTCACTCAGGGTAGTTCGTCGGAGAGACTCACTATTGCCGAGTCTTTCCAAAAAGGAATTTTTTAGATTCTCCATTCTCGTTAAATATTCTGTTTTGTACAATAGAACTGAGATAATAGGTAGAATGGACCACTAAACAAGGTACGAATTTATGCATTCTGCTACATGTGTTTAAACCAAAATTTTACGCAGAACACGATTCTTGCATCGCAAATTACTGAAATCAAATCCTAACTGAGATATTAACTTTTTATTTTACATTGGTCATGAGTAATTTGAATTGCCCATGCCACAAGAAACGCAATACTCTATACGTGAGTCCAATCGCATGCCACAACGGTGTCGGCAGGCTTTCCAATCGAGGACTATTCATTTCCCACCCTGTGTTGTTCAAACTATTAACAACTTGATATAGCTGAGCCAAAAAGTTAAGATTGGAGGTTGCCAGATGTTCATATCGGAGAGACTCTCGTGGTAACGTTTAGTGCGCGATTTGACTCACGTAGACCATTGCGTTTTTATAAGCTGAAGGTTTGAATTCACGCGTCGAAAAAACATTAACTATGTTGGTTAGAAGTTAATTTCAGTGATTTTCGTTTGCGCGAGTCGTGTTCTTCGTGAAATTTTGGCTTCGAAACTTGTAACTAAATGCTTACCTTCGTACCTTGTCTAGTGGTCCATTTTGTATTTCGCTAGCATCTTTCTACAAAAGTTCAAAGAAGAGAGATTTGAAAATGGTAAAGGGTGAATGTCTTGTTGTAACGTCGCTTTTCCATCGTTGCATCATCGTCGTTATACACACGTGCAAAACTTCTTTGGAGACATTTCAATCATGATTATTCAGATCAATGTTTTCTTTCTTTCCAGACATAGATGCTCCAATTGCACAAAGTCACAACAACGCATCGTACAAACAATTTTTGCATTGGGCTGTGCTGAATATTCAAAAAGGCGATGATATTAATGAAAATACCACGATCGCAGAGTACGTGCCTCCGGCCCCTGCAAACGCATCAGGTATTTCCGTGATATTTCTACATGAATGTAAAAATTAATATGCTCTGATTTTATCGTGGCAGTGATCATACTTTACCTTTGATTCTACGGTTCTAGAGATTCTTGGTTTCAGCGCGTGCGTTACGCCTCATTGGCTAAATTGCTCAGTCCGTAGACTCAGCAAATTTTTTTGTCCCGTCGCAGTGGATCGATTCAATGGGAGAGGTATGACACAATTTGGAGACTTTAAACGCTTATAAATACGTTTATACAAAACTTTGAGGTTCTAACAGTGGATCCATTGGTCTCCTCGTGAAATTTACCAATTGAGGCACCCTTTGAAATTTAAAATGTGACAAAATTAACATCAAAAGATTCAGTTTTAGTCAAAAATTTCATGTCCGACCTCTCTGATTGACTCGATCTATTGTGCGTCGGCGGAATTGCCATCCCGGTAGCCCATTCCGCGAACTATTTTGCCCTGCAGCCAGCTCGCGAACTGGTCGGTCTGAAGTCTGAAAATTACGCCGGCCGATTTTTAGTTTTAAATGCAAAATCCGTGCACTAATCAACGAATGTCCCCCACTGACTGATTTTTGACGAATTTTCTCGAGATTCGTAACGAAACTTAAAAGTATCAAAATAAAAACCAATACAATTCATTAAATTTCAAAAGTTGCGTGAGTTTACATTTACTTTTTTTCGATTTATTTTAGGAGCTTTTAATAAAAGTATATGAAATTTTTTTTCTACAAACCCGTTGTCCGAGTGAACAAAACCGATTAATATAAATATCTTTTATCGAGGAAGAAATGATTAAAAGTAACAGATTAAGGATGGTTTTCGGTGACAATATCCATCAAGTTTTGTTCAAAAATTATTTTGAAAGTGGGAAATCAGAAAGTCCACGAAAGCTTGAAAGCCATTGATTATTCATAGAGCGGCGCTCTTTTTTTTCTTTTCTTTTTTTTTTGTAGTTAAAGAGATGAGATGTAATACCTAGATTCTCTACGTAGAGTACTCTGTTATGTGGATACCACGACTAAAGACATTGAGAAAAGCGTAAGTTCCTTCAATTTTGAACATGCAACACGCACAAGCACATCCGCGGGACACACATATAGTTGCATCAAGACGCTGCGACCAACTCATAATCAGTTCAGTATTCGCAGGTCAAAATAGTCACCGATTTTAATCGCAAGAAATCATAAATACGAGAATAACAGTGAAAACTGTATCAATCGGCCCGTTTTTTAGATTTAAGAGCTTTGTGATATTGAAGTGATGAATTAATTAATCATACTATCCTATACCCTACGGGTGTTAGTTTTTTCTTGCAAAATGAAGTCCATTTGAATGAGTGAGACATTTTTATAGGAAACTTTAAAAAATGTGCTCGATACTTGTACTCGATACACTTATGTGCAAAATAAATAAATGAAAAAAAGCCAAGACACAGGGCCGGATTTACCTACTTGCCGTCCATGGGCCGCCTTTATTTTGCCGCCCCCTCTTTCGTTTTGAAACATCAATAAAAATCAACAGGGGGAGGGGTGCATAAGACACGTTTAGTCGTTTTTGACACATTTTTTACAAAATCCCTGTTAGCATTACTAGTAAAAGTTCAAGGAACTTAGCACAAAAGTAAGTTTCGTAAACCTATCTCTGTGTGGAAAAGGCCTCCCATTCATAAGAAATAAACGAAAAAATTATGAGAGAACAAACATGAATGCGGTTTAGTAATCCTAACTTCCGCCGCCGCCGTGCCGCTCTGACCACACTGTGTTTGGCGCAATGCGTGAAGTATTCCTACAGTCTTGTAGGCGCTATGCGTTTCGCGCCGACCGCTGCTGGCCTCACTGTCATTGACGCAATGCGTGAAGTATTCATGCAGTCTTGTAGGCGCCTTGCGTTTCACGCCGACCGCCGCACAGTGGGACGAAAAGGTGCTAAAACGGGACATTCGCACATCAGACGATAATTTTTCGCCGATCTTCTCAAAACTTGACATTTTCAGTCTTTGTGGGAAAAGGAATCCAATGTTATGTTCAGAATTTGGTTCATTGTGACAATCCCGCCAAAAAATTGTGTTGCCAAGTCTCTGTTTTAATCTATTTGATAAACAGATTAGCATGATTATGGTAGAGATTTAACGCGCGTGTCGTTTGCTTTTTTTCATTGAAAAAGAAAATGAATTCACTGATCCTGAAATTGAGAAATGCTTCTATTAAGAATGAACACCCCCC